TCGGACAAGATTTGGCGAAGAAACCAAGAAAACCGTTAAAGAGGGATTAAGCAAATTAATAGATAATATCGACACCGGAGAAATAAAAGTCAAACACAAGGGCAACGCCATATTTTTTAAAAACATACGTTCGGGCGAGGGAATCTTTCTTTCAAAGTATAAAGGCAACGGGGTGATTTTTGGTACGAAAATGTAATAAATAAAATTGGGAAAGAAATTCAAACATTCGGACATATTTCCTAGCAACCCCATGCTCATGTGCATTTGCGGATCTTCGGGTTGTGGAAAGACTTACCTCACTTTTAACATGTTGACAACACCCAACCTTTTAGATTTCAAGTCTCTGTATATTTACACGACTACTCCCGAACAATCCTATTATCAGTTTCTCAAAGCTTTGGAATACGTCTCGAAAGAAGAAGTTCAAGACATTTTTCACAACTACGAAAGCAACTAAGACTTGCAAGAGAATGCGGAAATAAAAGACATTTTAGACGGCTTTATCAAAGAAAAGAATCCTTCTCTGAAACCGACCGACGTCAAAGTGTTTCTGACTAAAAATGTCAACGATTTAGACTTGTCTAAAATCGACAACCACCGAAAGAACTTGATTGTCTTTGACGACTGCGTGGCACAAAAAAGTCAAACCGTTCAACAAGAATTCTTCACGAAAGGAAGACATCACAATTGTCACTGCATATATCAATCCCAATCTTTCTACGGAATGGACGCCATGTTTATCAGAAAGAACGCAAATTGTTTTTTATTATTCGAATTAAACGACAAAGATTTATCTCAAATCATTCAGTCGATAAATCACGGAATGGACAGAGACACGTTTAAAAAGGTTTGTAAAACTCAATGGAGAAACCCGGATGATCATGGATATGTATTTGTTAATACTAGAAAACCTGCGGGAGAAAGAGTTATGACAGACATATGTTAATTTTATTTTTTTTAAAAATGACGGATTGGAATAATATTTTAAATGGAAATAGAGAATATATCANAGCTAAGAATAAAATAAAGACCCAAGTTGAAAATAACATATTACAACAACTCGGATTAAC